GTACCCGACAGACTTCTTTCTTTGGAGTTGGGTGTAAGCCCGTTTGTAGCAACATTACGATAACTGATATAATAGCTCTTGTTGTGTACTTTAAACCCTGAAAATTCCATCGACGCACATCTGCAGGTTTTCACGAAAAAAAATGTTTCCTAATTGCAGAGAGTATCGCGCACCGTACCCGACAGACTCCTTTCTTTGGAGATGGGGTGTAAGACCGTTTGTAGCAACATGTTTTAACTGATTATAATAGCTCTGTTGTGTACTTTAAACCCTGAAAGCTCATCGACGCACATCTGCAGGTTTCCACGAAAAAAAATGTTTCCTAAATTGCAGAGAGTATCGCGCACCGTACCCGACAGACTTCTTTCTTTGGAGCTGGGGTGTAAGACCGTCTGTAACAACATTTTGATAAACTGATTATAATAGCTCTTGTTGTGTACTTAAACCCTGAAAAGCCCATCGACCCGCATCTGCAGGTTTCACGAAAAATTGTTTTCTACATTGCAGAGAGTATCGCGCATCGTACCCGACAGACTTCTTTCTTTGGAGGCTGGGGTTGTAAGACCGTTTGTTAACAACATTTTGATAACTGATTATATAGCTCTTGTTGGGTACTTTAAAACCCTGAAAATCCCATCGACGCACATCTGCAGTTTTACCAAAAAACAAGGTTTCCTAATTGCAGAGTATCGCGCACTGTACCCTACAGACTTCTATCTTTGGAGCTGGGGTGTAAGACCGTTTGTAACAACATTTTGATAAATGACTATAATAGCTCTTGTTGTGTTACTTAAAACCCTGAAAGCCCACGACGCACTTTGCAGGTTTTCACGAAAAAAATGTTTTCCTAAATCGCAGAGAGTAATCGCGCATCGTACAGACAGACTTCTTCTTTGGAGCTGGGGTGTAAGGCCGTTTGTAACATTACGATAAACTGACTATAATAGCTTCTGTTGTGTGCTTTGAACCCTGGAAAGCCCATCGACGCACATCTTCTGCAGGTTTATCACGAAAAAAATTTTTTCCTAAATTGCAGAGGGTATCGCACACCGTACCCGACAGACTTCTTTCTTTGGAGCTGGGTGTAAGACCATCTGTAGAAACCTTTTGATAACTGGTTATAATAGCTCTTGTTGTGTACTTTAAACCCTGAAAAGCCCATCGACGCACATCTGCAGGTATTCACGAAAAAAAAAATGTTTCCTAAATTGCAGAGAGTATCGCGCACCGTACCCGACAGACTTCTTTCTTTGGAGCTGGGGTGTAAGACCGTTTGTAACATAATTAGGATAACTGATTATAATAGCTCTTGTTGTGTACTTAAACCCTGAAAAGCCCATCGACGCACATCTGCTGGTTTTCACGAAAAATTTTTTTTCCTAAATGCAGAGAGTATCGGGCACTGTACCCGACAGACTTCTTTCTTTGGAGCTGGGGTGTAAGACCGTTTGTAACAACATTTTGATAACTGGTTATAATAGCTCTAGTTGTGGCGTGTAAGACCGTTTGTAACAACATTTTGATAACTGGTTATAATAGCTATTGTTGTGTACTTTAAACCCTGAAAAGCCCATCGACGCACATCTGCAGGTTTTCACGAAAACAAATTTTTCCTAACTTGCAGAGAGTATCGCGCACCATACCCGACAGACCTCTTTCTTTGGAGCTGGGGTGTAACACCATTTGTAACAACATTACGATAACTGATTATCATAGCTCTTGTTGTGTACTTTAAACCCTGAAAAGCCCATCGACGCACATCTGCAGGTTTTCACGAAAACAAATTTTTCCTAAATTGCAGAGAGTTTCGCACAACGTACCCGACAGAATTCCTTCTTTGGAGCTGGGGTGTAAGACCATTTGTAACGACATTTTGATAACTGGTTATAATAGCTCTTATTGTGTATTTTGAACCCTGAAAAGCCCATCGACGCACATCTGCAGGTTTTCACGAAAACAAATTTTTCCTAAATTGCAGAGAGTATCGCGCACCGTACCCGACAGAATTCCTTCTTTGGAGCTGGGGTGTAAGACCATTTGTAACAACATTTTGATAACTGGTTATAATAGCTCTTATTGTGTATTTTAAACCCTGAAAAGCCCATCGACGCACATCTGCAGGTTTTCACGAAAAAAAAATGTTTCCTAAATTGCAGAGAGTATCGCGCACCGTACCCGATAGACTTCTTTCTTTGGAGCTGGGGTGTAAGACCGTTTGTAACAACATTACGATAACTGATTATAAAAGCTCTTGTTATGTACTTCAAACCCTGAAAAGCTCATTGACACATATCTGCAGGTTTTCACGAAAAAAAATTTTTCCTAAATTGCAGAGAGTATCGCGCACTGTACCCGACATACTTCTTTCTTTGGAGCTGGGGTGTAAGACCGTTTGTAACAACATTACGATAACTGATTATAATAGCTCTTGTTGTGTACTTGAAACCCTGAAAATCCCATCGACGTACATCTGCAGGTTTTGCCAAAAAAAAGGGTTTCCTAAATTGCAGAGTATCGCGCACTGTACCCGACAGACTTCTATCTGTGAAGCTGAGGTGTAAGACCGTTTGTAACAACATTTTGATAACTGGTTATAATAGCTCTTGTTGTGGCGTGTAAGAC